TATTTAGAATGTGGGAACCAGACTATTTTTTATAGGATTTAAAAAAAGATTTTATTTATTTATTTGAGAGAGAAAGAACATGAGAGGGATGGGTAGAGGGGGAGAGAGAAGCAGATTCCCTGCTGAGCCTGGAACCTGACACAGGGCTCAATCCCAGGACCCCCAGGATCATGACCTGAACCAATGGAAGATGCTTAACTGACTGAGCCAGTCAGGTGCCCTGGGAAACAGAATATTTTACAGACTAGGAAATGGAGCCAACATGATATCCAGGATCACCCAGCAGGTTGACTTGGTCATCCTAGGAATCCTTTTTATTACTAATCCTAGAGAGAAGAAGGAAGGATGGAAAAAACCTGTCTTGTCCTGGGATGGGGAAGGTTTCTATGCCATGAGATGCTGTAGGCAAACTTTGGTCCAGATGCAGGAGGGAACCTGATACCATCCAGAAGAGAGAAGTTGAGAGAGAATCATGTAGAACTACAGATGGCCTCTGCCCAGCAAATGATCCCCACCAGGGAGGATGTGGTAGGTTCTGGAAACAAGACTGCTTCTGCTCCTGGCTCTGCCACTTCCTAGTTGTGCAAGCTTGCCCAAGTCAGGTAATTTTCTCTGACCCTCTGCCGCCTCCTCTCAGTGGGGCTCACAATCCTAAGCTGCCCCGGTCTCAAGCTATTGACTTATGCTTAGGTTCGGGTGAGTTAATCCCAAGCAGGACTTTGCCATTATGTAAGCACCCAGTGAATGGAAGCTGCTACTTCTTGCTCCCCAGAGGCACGCCTTTCCCCTCCCACCACCTTGCCTCAGCTTTGCTTGGGATTACTTGCGCATTCATTCATCCCCTCCACTACAGAAGTCCTGCACACTCTTCAAAGTCCATCTCCAGTGTTATCTCCTGATTCAAACCTTTGTCACCCTTCCTCCCTCCCCATTCTCTGTGAGTGTTGCCCAACTTTGGATCTTTGTTGTCTCTTAGACAGATTTTCCAAATTCTGCCCTATATAAGTGCTTTTTCTGTGTGGTATGGTACACTCCAGAAGACTGCTGCCTTTGAAGGTGAGACTGGGTCTTAGGTTTGCAAACCCTATGGTCATAGCACAGAACAGCATGGTAAAGAATATGAAATCATGTTTGCGCACTTGGTGATCCCTGCTGTGTGTCAACAGTGCAGTGGTGAGCAGAACCCCAGAGCCCACTCTCCGTAGCTCCCACCCATGTCCCACAATGATGCTGGCCGAGCAGAGAGGTGCCCCTGTGCCCCAGGTCAGTTCTACTTTTGTGACCTTGCTCATCAGTGTGTGTGAGCAGGGACCATGGCCTTCTGATGGCACCACCCTGTGTGAGAGCTGGGCTTGGGGAGGTGGGCCTGGCCCTAGCAGTGTTGGCTTCCAGGCAGGCAGGGAGGGAGGGGCTCCAGAATGTGTGCATACAGGAAGAAGGGACAAGGACGGGTGGTGGCAGAGGCAGAGAGGAAGCACATGGGTCAGGTCTCCACAGCAGGTAGAGGCGTAGCCCCTGGCCTAGGACCCCACTTAACTAGCACTGATTCCAGACTCTGTATTCAAGCTCAAGAAAGTGCCCTGGACAGGGCAGGAGGAGCCTTCGGTTTGCATGAGCTGGGGTTGCCCTGCAGAGCTGCGGATCAGTATTAATTGGGTTCTGGGTCACCCATAAACCCATGGTGGTGAGCACTTGGGCCTTGGGCCTCATGCTGGAGCTGGCTACATTTTTACTTGGAAGGAAAGGAAGAAGGTGGAGGACACTGGAAAAACCAGTTAGGGTGTGTGAGGCTCCATTTTACGTCGCTGTTAAGGGAATGTTGGCTTAGGAGCCAGGAAATGTATGGTAAAAATCTGACTTTTTTCAAAAGCTAGCAGTATGTTCGTTAGGTCAGCAGGACCCTTCCGTGAGTTGCAACTTCTGAGCTGGCAAGTGGGCAGGCCAAAAGTTTGGGGTTTGTGCTTCCTCCCTCTGACAGGAAGTGTGCCCAGCACATCGTCCTGAGGGGGATGGGGAATTGGTACGTCCTTGTGTCTACTGGTCCTATCATGGTCTGGTAGCAGCTGGAAAGGGCACTGGCTGAGTGGGTATTTCTGCACATGGCCAGCCTCATTTCCAGGCCAGGCGAGAGCCATGGGGACAAGCTCGGTGACACACAGCCCTGTGTCCATTTGGCTCATCTCCGAGTCCCTAGAATTCACGTGGCGTTTCATAGTAGTTGTTGTCAGCCAATATTTGGAATGAATGATGGAATTGCAGGTTCTTCACCCGTTCTGTTATTCGTTGCAGGGAGGAGTTTATCAGCTTTCTGTGTTTGCTTTAACGAATTACTGTAAACATGTTGGCTTAACACAGAACACCCGAAGTTTCTTCTCTTAGAGTTCTGGAGGCTAGAAGTCGGCAGTCCTGTAGGGGGCCGTGTGGCTTGGTAGGGCTTTAGGGGAGACGCCATTCTCTGTAGCTTCCAGCTCCTGGGGGCTTCAGGTGTCCCTTGGCTTGTGTCTCTGCAGTCTCTGCTGGTCACATTGCCTCATCTCTGTCTCCCAGGGTGTCTCTTACAAGGACACTTGTCAAAAGATTTAGGGACCTTCGGATAATCCAGGAATATCTTCATCTCAATATCAGTATGTAATTAATTGCATCTGCAGAGACTCTTTTTCCAAATACAAGACAACATTCATAGGTCCTAGAGATGAGGATATGTAGGAGAGATTTTTGGGGTGAGGGGGCAGCTTTCCACCCACCGCAGGCAGTAACATGGTGTTTTTACTAATCATGGCTGTTTTAGCTGTTTTAGCTGTTTTAAAACTGCTACCCACTGGGTTTGTGCTGTTCCTAATCTGTTGTTTGCATTTAAGTTTAATTCGTGTGTGTGTGTTTAGAGAGAGAGAATTTAATATAGGTAGATTTCCCTTTCCTCCAGTTTTTGTTTCAGAAAGTCCTTCCCTGTTGAGTGTCTGGTAAGAATGACTCATGTTCACATGAGACCTTAAGAAAGTTGACTTCAGTCTCTGGTGACTTGTCTCAATGTATTTGCTGTGAGTTGAGTCCCTGCAAAGCCCCAGGGAGCTCTGTGTCAGGCCTGTAGCTGAGTGGGAACTGCCGTGTGCCGTGGTCAGCCTCCTGGTTTCCAAGGTTTCCTCCTGATTTCCTGGTTTCCACTGGTGTCCCGTACTTACCTCGGCTGGCACCACTGGGGACACTGGGGGACAGGTATTCAAGACCTTTCTGTACTATTTTTGTTACTTCTTGTGAGTCTATCCTTATCTCAAAGTTAAAAAGAAAAACAATTTTAGTCAGCCAGTCAGATTTACCATCGTTAAGTCATTCTCTCAGTTTGTCAAACATCTTTATTAAGTTAACATATGTATGGGTGTCTTAGAGTCGTAGCACTCCCTTAATTTGGGAAGAACTGACATCATTTGAGAACTGGCCTTCCCGTCTAGGAACGTGATGTGTCCTCTTTCTTCAGACTGTGTTTCACTTCCCGGTAACACATGTTGCTTGCTTCAGGCTGTTCATAGATGGGAGCTGTGTCTGTCCGGTGGATGCGCCTTTTCCCCCGTGCGCATTCCTGAACCAGCCTGCGCTGGGGCAGTGTCACCAAATAGAATCCCACACCCTTTAAATACATGGAATTCTTCTAACTTGGGAAAATGCTTTTCATTCTGCAGTTAGGGACAATGTTTAACAGGCTTTTACTCGTTCCTCTAACTGCTCTGGGGAAGGGTATGGTCATTTATTTACTCTCATGTGGATTTGAGTGGGTGGCTGAGTTCTCCATCTAGGTGAATGGGGGCGTCCTTTATAAAGAACTGTGAAGTTTCATTTGTAAATTTGTTTGTTTGTTTGTTTGTTTGTTTTTGGAGATTTATTTATTTATTTATTTGACAGAGATCACAAGTAGGCAAAGAGGCAGGCAGAGAGAGAGGGGGAGGCAGGCTCCCCGCCCAGCAGAGAGCCCGATGTGGGGCTTGATCCCAGGACCCTGAGATCATGACCTGAGCCAAAGGCAGAGGCTTTAACCCACTGAGCCATCCAGGCACCCCATTCATTCATAAATTTAGTGTTAACTACATTTTGTTGAATCCTTCGAAAATTGTGGAGGTGCTGTTTCTGGGACATGTGATTTGCTCCCTGGGGTGTCCTAGGTGCAACCAGGCGGGGACAGACTGGGGGTGGGGGGGGTGTGTGGCCCAGAGAGCCAGCCGTCTGAGTTGGCCATGCATTGACTCCTTGCTCTGTTCCCTGGGGCCGAGAGGCCTGGGTGGGCCACCGAGGAGGTCAAGAAGGCCACTGTCTGGGTGAACCCCAGGTCTGAAACCCCTCAGAAATGGAGAATGTCCTATTCATCCCCCTCTAGGTCAGTCTTACGAAATCCGACTGCTGGAGAATCGGAAGCTGGGAGACTTCCAAGATCTGAACACAAAATATGTCAAGGCAAGGCTACGGGGCCGCCCTCCCTCCTTAGGAGTTGTTGGGGGTTCTGGGAACCTGGGCCTGCTAGGGGTGGGGGTTAGGAAACCTGGGCTTGCTGGAGGTGGGGGTCAGGAGTGCCTGGGAGGTTTGGGTAGAGCTCCAGACTGGGAAAGGGATTCCTGTTCCCTGGGGCATGTTGTCTAAGTAGCCAGGGTCAGTCAGGCAGTTCTGAGAGCTAGAGGGGCCTGGGCTTCACCTGAACAGGCTCTGGGTTGGACAGATTGAGATGTGAGCCTGGCTTTGCCACTTAACTGAGCAGTTGCTTATCTGCATGAAAAGGAGTATAGATTAGCCATGTATGTAAAGCACTTAGTAATTCTGGAAAAGGGGATAGTCCTCATTCTCACTGTCTGTGATTGGGGTTCTGAGTGGGGAGAAGCACACAGAGCCAGAGAGCCGGGAAGGAAGGCTCCAGCAGAAGGGGTCTTAGTCTTAAAAGGTGGGAAATTTGCCTTCGTGGGAGGTTCCTCTTGGGTCCTTCTTGTACCCATACTCAGCTGTCTGCCTGGCCTGTCCTCCCTAGAGCATCATCCGTGTGGTTTTCCACGACCGCCGGCTGCAGTACACAGAGCACCAGCAGCTGGAGGGATGGCGCTGGAGCCGGCCCGGGGACAGGATCCTGGACATCGGTGAGTCTCTTGGCCACGAGGGGCGCCAGGCACTCCGAGCATATTAGGGTTCTTCCTGGATGCCTTGGGACTCATGCCTCCGTAGGGCTCTTAGTGCACTCTTGCCCTGGGTGAGCTGCTGTGGGAGCTGGCAGACCCGCCCATTCCCCCAGGCCTGCCCTTGGGGACCTCTCATTCAAAGGCCTGCAGCCGGAAAGTTTTGCAGAGGGTCCCGCCTTAAGGAGTTTGCTCTGTGACAGAGGGAAGCATGGGCATTGCAGAGTTGGGCAACAGAAACTGAGTTTGGGGTCTTGGGCACTGGTCTGTCGTCTTTTATCTAGAACCCTGGAAGCCAGTCGGGTTTTGGAATTCAGAGGTCAGAATTCTTAAAACAGGGTGCGGAGACCCCTAGCGACAGGTGATGCCTCCCAGTAGCCAATCAGGTGCACTGATATTTCTGCAGCAGGAGAAAACATTGACCCAGAATGGGACAAAGACTCTAAATGGCTTCATGGTGGTCACGTTGGGCTTGCTGCCAAATGAGCTGGGTGAAACTCAGTTTTCAGAACTTTGGGTATTGCAAATTATGGTGAAGGAATCTGGACCTTCCCTAAATCTTTGGGAGTGGCTGACGATTGCACTTTTGTGTGTGTGTGTGTGTGTGCAGATATTCCACTGTCTGTTGGTATCTTGGACCCCAGGGCCAGCCCGACCCAGCTGAACGCAGTCGAATTTTTATGGGACCCTTCGAAGAGAGCCTCTGCGTTCATTCAGGTAAGCAGGTGTCCTTGGGGGAGGCCAAAGTTTCGGGGCCTGTGTGTAGTTCCTCAAAACAGTCCACCTGTGGGGCCCACATGGGCCCTGTTCTGTTGCAGGGATGCACATTTAGGGAACGGGGTACAGAAGTGTAGTTCAGTCCCAGAGCTGGTTGGTCCCCAGGGCTAGAAAAGGACTTGGCCTGTTGGAGAATTCTGTGTCGGTTTTGCTTAACCATATGTAAGCTTGTTATGGAATAAGTATGTCCTCACATAGATAATATGTAATAAAATTTTTTCCAGGAGAATTTCTGTGATTAAATTAATCAGTGATCAAGCACCTGGTGTGGATCCAGGGGCATGGCGGGGCCTCTGTGCAGCTGGGCTGACTCAGATTCCCTTGCTCAGTCTATGTCCCTTTCCGAGCCTCTTAGTTTTTCCACCTGTCTTATAAATCAGATAATGAACCTAAAGTCATTACTGCAATGCCTGGTCCATAGCAATTGCTCAGTGAAAGTTAGTGATTTATTTTTTTTACATAATTACAATATTCTTATTATATTTTAAAGTTACGACTACGATGTTATTGTATTATCACAATAATGTATATTATTGGAGTAGTACAGTATTATAATAAGAAATATGTTATCCAGTGCCTTTTTCTGTAGCAGGTATTTACTTAGCAGTAACGTGCAGCCTCTGGTCCTGTTTCTGGCCTGGCCCAATAACCCAGATGCCAGGGCTGTTGGGGACTGAGCTGTGGTCTCTGCTGTGCAGTCTGGGGGATCTGCCAAGGGAGAGGAGGGAGTAGACGGTGTGGCCACGGGTCTGGGCCTGAGCAGTGGCGAGGAGGTAGCTGGTCAGGCAGGGCCTGTAAGGTCAAGGGACAAAGGTGGGAGGGCATGTCCTTTATAAAGAGGGGGGGATGGAGAGGCCATGGCCCTGATGGGAGCATGGGTGGGAGAGCAGGGAAGCTGAGGCAGGTGTGCACCTGAAGAGGCAGAATGGAAACCTCCATTTGGCGAGGGGCCCTGGAGGAGTCCAGGGCCTGGCCTCAGCCCTCTCCTTGCTCCTGGCCCGCATTTCCCCTTCCAGGTGCACTGTATCAGCACCGAGTTCACTCCCAGGAAGCACGGGGGCGAGAAGGGCGTGCCTTTCCGGGTGCAGATCGATACATTTAAGCAGAACGAGAATGGGGAGTACACAGAGCACTTGCACTCGGCCAGCTGCCAGATCAAGGTGTTCAAGGTAGGACAGTGTTGCCCCTGGGGTCCCCGCCTGTGCTGGACACTGACCTTTGGGATTCCCCCTGGAGGCCCAGCAGGGAGCCCGGTGTCCCATGGGCCTGGGGCTTCCCGAGCCCCCCAGGAGCACGAGCCGGCATATCCTGCACTGATGGGCCTGCCCCCCCGTGGGTGTCCTGTTGCACGGGGCACCTTCTGTCATCTGGCA